AATCAATGAATAACTGCTTTCTTTCGTGTCCCACATCGGTGATATGTCTGGATGCGCCGACACTCCGGAGAGCAAACTTTGCACAACTATAACAATGGGAATCGTTATGTTTGTTGAACGGGCTATCTTACTTCTTACTAATAATAAAATGCGGATGTTTGGATAGATGTTTGTTTGAAGGTATCTCCAGTGCAGCTGAAAGGATCTTGATGTAATTCGGCATAGATGTAGAACATAGTCTGGAAGAACAAATATGCTACTAATTAGGCTTTTTTTAATTCGCCGCAGAGGGAGTCGCAAGCGACAGCTAGTTTCTAATAAACGCACCTGTTCATTGTTACAAAATATACATTGTATGGAACGAATGCTCCAATACTTTCTTTTTTATGTTCAACGATTTGAATTACATTTTATTAAAGTAAGAGATTATTTTATTTATTTATTTATTATGGTAGAAATATTGGCTTTATCAAAAGACATTATTATTTACAAAATATAGAACAAAATTTGAATCATTTCAATCAAAAAGTTTTCGACGTTGTGTTGTTGTAATAAATTAATATCTAATTGTTGGTTCAACGTTATTAAGAATTTAATATTGACGCACACAAACTTTATTATTTACGCCACAAAGCGCAAACTTTCAGTAAACAACTGTCAAACAATGTGACGGTTACTCCTCGAACAAAATACAATTTGTCATGATTGATCAAAAGAAGTCTGTGGAAATACAGGAGATGTTGGGGTAGAGCCCACTCATTCTTTCAGAAGTTCTGTAAGGCGTACTTTGAAAAGTTTTAATTTTGACAGTAACATGACCGTGCTTTACTTCGGCTTTTGGACATTTGCTTTTAAAAACCATTGACTCTCACGGTACAATTAGAAAGAGACATTTGCATATTATTATAGGTTATTAGTATAGTAAAAGTCCGTTTGGAACATAAAACTTTTAATTAATTTAAATAATATTACAGTGTAGTACGTAATCAATACATCGTTGTTAGGACAGCAGCGGCGTCCCGGCAGTCGTGCGCGTACGCGTGTTTACAAAGTCAAGGCTCGAGGCTAACTAAGGGAACGGGGGAACAACGGCGGGCGCGCAGCCGGGCGGATTGCCGGGACGGAGGCGGGGCGCGTTCAGTTCGTGAGGTGGCGTGATGTCGACGCGATGCTATATTAGTAAGTAAATCTCTAATTGAAAAAAGAAACAAACCACTTAATACACAAAGAGATCTTTAAGACACGTGTAAAAGTTCAGTTCTATGTAGTTAATGTAATGTAATTGTTGCCGACAGATACGGAACCTCTTTACACGTTTTTTAATCATAATTTTTATATTTTTGTATTTGGAACTTTATATATTTTGTCTCTGTATTTTATATCAGTGGTAAATATATCCTCTAACAGTGCGTGCTTATCTCTTCATTTTCATAATTCTATTTTATATTTTCATTTTGTCTTTTAATTTTTATTATATAAATTCCAAAATTCATCTTAATTCAACCGCTCTTTCCATCCTCATATTTTCCGTCCTCTTTAATAATCTTGATAAGAACTTAGTAGTCGAACGGATTTAGGGATTTGTTCTTGCTTTATAATTTTTTAATAAACAATAATATTAGTTAGAATAAGAAAAGTATATCGTATAATTAGCAGATCGACAAAATGTGTGAAATATTTACTGGTAAGCTCTGTCTATATTATTTCTAAGGATACAAACATTTTAGGAAATTAATTTTGATATTGGTAAACGCGTTGCGCATACATAAGTGAAAGAGAATCTTGTAAAACAGTCACAATATTTTTTTTCCTGAAGAAACTCGGTTTGGGGAATAAACAGAGCGATAAATATTCATGAGAGCAGTAAGCCTTCTTGTCATAGGCCTTGAGGGTCTGATGGATGGCGTGTCAGAGTTTGCTGCCCTTGCTTTTCTTATACCAAGAAAAAATGGCAATTTCAAGCTCATATAAAACAATTTAATTTATTAAGGCTTTAAGAAAATAACGATGAAATCATTAAATATTGTGTTATTCTAAGAACGTAGTGACATTGATGAAGAAATGAATCAGCATAAAAAGTCGTATTTAATTGGTAGAAGACTCAACGACACAACGTATAGTGTGCAAAAACAAACTAGAATTTTAGTAAACCCAAATAATAAACAATACTTATTGGTAAACGGTACTAGATCTTAAATCTAAGCATTTTGCGAGTATTTCTTCAAAATAAATTGACCGTGACGTTTTTTTCCTGAAATTTATTTAATAAATCCTAGATTCAAATATATGAAGCCGAATCTGCCTACTAACTTTGATACGAATTGGTTTTGTTTAAAGCTCTTAGAAAGCTCCATCTTTGGCCGGAAAGATGCGGCAAAGTTCTTTTATCAAGTAAGTAGATCAGATGGTTTACACGATAACACACTTCACAGTGAAATAAAAGTTTATTCGATGTTGAGTAAGCGTCGAGAGATTTCCAACAAAATTTCCCTCAAACCGCCAACATACGGCGCTAACGGAAACGAACATATCTTGATATTTTCCCCGGAGATACTCGGCTATAGGGCCATTACTTGATTTCAATACATCTGTTTCTTCAAAACCTTAAACGAGAGACGCCAACTCAGATTGTATTAACATCGCTTAATGTCCGTTTGAAAATAGAATTCATTTTGGATATATTCTATATATCTAAATATATATATTCTTTCTACTGAACTTTGATTCTTCTGGTTCCTTATAATATTCTAGAAAAACAACACATTCGTAACACAAGAATGAAATTCGACTATCAGAAAGCAATGTTACATATTTTCTTATAAATTGAACAGCAAAATAAACTCTTTCCAAACGCGCTTATTCAAACATACTGAATCAAATAAGAAATGAATCCAATCTATGTAACAACGTAAGAAATATTCTGAGTAAAGAGAACCATAGCAATTTCACTAATAGGGTCTCGTTTTGACAACGTTGTTTGACAACATAAAGAATTCGTAGTGTCTAAAAAATGATTAGAGCGTCGGTGGCTCAGGGGTTCAAGCACTTGACTTGTAATCTATAGATCCTGGGTTCGAGTTTCGCCGTGTACCAATGTGTTTTTCGATTTACATTTATCCGACGTTCTTACGGTAAAGGAAAACATAGTGATGCAACCTGCACATATCTGAAAACCAACCCGCACTTGGCCAGAGTGGTTGACTATGGTCTATTCACTCCTAACTTTGGGTGGGCTCCGAGCCTCTTAGTGGGGACGTATAGTGAGCTGATGATGATTAAAAACTGATTCCGTACTGACTTTTGATTTTGGATAAGTTTTATTTTGGCAATAAAACATATTGGCTTATAAGCGTGATTCTTTATGATTGATGTAAAAGAAAACATCTTTAAATTCACGGCGCATGAAACTTCTCACCACCTACTGTGAAGATCCTTAACTTTGCCTCCCGTGGTGTGAAAGTTACATGGTTACTCAAATAAACGAAATAAACACAAAAGAATAAGCAAATAGACAAGAATACGAAATAATTTTTTGATGAAATACAAGTATTAATTCGTTATTCTCTAGATGCAGTGTTTTATATAAAACAGAAGCTAAAAATGAAATACTAAGAAAAAAAAAATTTTTCAAATTGCGTTCGTGACAGACATTTCTGGGCAATGTACTTATGTATCTTTTTGTGTAGCAATGTGCGCTATTTTTACACTATTTTACTATACAAATCTATGAACCTTATAATAACAGGCATGGAGATTTTTAATTCATGCCGAAACATTTTTTGATTTGTCCTCTTGATGACAAGATTACACAGTTTTTGAAGTTACGAATTGAACACTGTTATATGCTTCAATTGGTTAACCTCTGGAATAACTTTGTTCGTTGATATACATCTAGAACTGTCCGTACACTGGTCGGAACGTACTACATTATGTTATGATTGTATAGACAGCCTCGGACGATACTGTCTGAGTCAAGGGATTAGACAACTGAAGTGAAAGATGATATGCCTTTACAAATAGGGTGACGTGTGTCATAATTGTAATGCAAGATACCTAGTAGATAAATAAAATTGAATTGAAATTGCTTTATAAAATATGAATCTATTATTGATTACTGTATCTGATCAAAATTTAATGCCTGGACATTCAAATTATTTTGTATTATACATAAATACGAGTATAATCAATGTTTGAAATAAATCTTCAGAGATAATCTAAAAAAAAATCTTTAAAAATACTAGCCCGACCTATTATTATACAAAAATGTTAAAATATAATCTAAATAAACTTATTTATATTGTAGTTTTAGTACAAATGAATTTGAAATTCAAATAATATTACCGCTAATATAAAGCTTTACGTAATACCCTGACTTGTAAATTAAAGAATAATCCTACACGTCGATCTAAATAGAACTTCATGAACGGGAACATATGTGCGCGAAGAAAAAGAAAATAACAGTCGCCATAAACAGGTCAATACGTAAGTCTATAAGCCCTCGTAATATAGTTCTTGTAGTCCCGACCATTAGTCTTTATTTTGTACGCAGCAAATATGTGAGAGTGCGAAAGAAACTACAATGTACGATGTAATCAAATGAGAACTGTACAACACCGTCGAGAATATTGAAACAGACGAGAGGCCTTCGGGTCGTATAATATACAAACAATAATCAACACCAATTCTATTTCACAAAGTGTATATTGTATTATCTAGCTTTATTAAACTTCAAATAAATCAGTTGATTAATAGGTAGGACGTGTTTATATCTTACTAATATTATAAATGCGAATTTTTATATAAATGTTTGTTTGAAACGGATTTTGATAAAATTTGGCAAACACGAAACATAGTTTGTAAGAAAACATAGGCTATTTATAAGTTTTTTTTATTCCGGGCGGACAGAGTCGCGGGCAACAGCTAGTTCACATATAAATGTGTTAATTGTTGATGCTAGATAAGTATTATAAATACGTGATTCGAGTGTTGATGCTCGTAAAAACATGATATCGGACTCGCTCTAGCGGACCTGTTTTATGTCAGTTCACATTGAGAATTCAAGTGCGATGGACTTCAATAACAAAGTAGTTATTATAACCGGTGCTAGTTCCGGCATCGGAGCAGCCACCGCTATCGAGTTTGCGAAACAATCAGCAAAAGTTGTACTCGTGGGAAGAAACGAAGAAGCCTTGAATTATAATGCAAGCAAATGTGAAGACGCCAAAGGAATAAAACCATTAATAATCAAAGCTGAACTAACTAACGATGAAGATGTAAAGAGAGTAATATCAACGACTATAGAACAATTTGGAAGGATAGATGTTTTAATTAACAACGCAGGTGTTGGAATAAGTGGCAGTATAAGAGATGGAATAGAGCTATTAGACCGTGCTATTTCAACAAATGTACGTCCTGCATATTTATTGACTAGCCTTGCAACACCATATCTTGTACAATCTAAAGGAAATATTATCAATGTTTCCAGTATAGCGGCATTGAAACCAATTAAGAATGTAGAATTCTTACCGTATTGCATGTCCAAGGCAGCATTAGATCAGTTCACGAGATGTCTTGCTTTGGAACTTGGAAAAGATGGTGTTCGTGTGAATTCGGTCAATCCTGGCGCTACAAAGACTAATTTCATGGCCGCTTGTGGTTATAGTAAAGACCAAATTGATGAAATATTTAAAGTTCGCGAACAGAGTGTTCCACTTCTTAAAATGGTTAAAAGTGAAGATGTCGCTGATCTTATAATATTTTTAGCTAGTGATCGCGCGTCATGCATAACGGGTTCAACATATGTTATTGACAGTGGTGAAACGTTAATGTAATTACATAATATTTGATAACCTCTTGCTATCGAATATTTTGGTTAATAAAGGTGACAATGTATACACGAATCATATAACTTACGAAAATATAAAAGAAATGAATTGATTATACCATTATTTCTAAAACGTTTTTTATATCGAATAATGTAATTTTTGTACGAATGATGGAGACAAAGACAAAACGCCTGACATGATAAAAAGGCAAAGTTGCAGAAATGTTTTTTTATTTTAATATTTTTATATTACTTTTATATTTATATGTTATATTGAAATAATATCCATTGTTTAAGCGGCATGTGTGTCGTGTGGTACGTGAGAGCGCGCACCCTCGGGGGATTTGAGGTCTGCAGATTTTTCAATTTTTATTTGCTTTAGTAAGTGCTGACTGTGACACCGTATGGGAAGGCAAAGGTTGTTTCCTGGCTATTATTTATTTACTTATTTCTGAGCATGTAATGTTAGCTTTTATATCGTTTACAGAAAAAAAACTTACATAAGCTTATAGTTTAGTTGCAATGGTTACAAATAATACCGGTAAGTAATTTTTTTTAAGTCGTTGAAAATAATTTAATTTGTATGTACAAGAAAATATTAGATTGAGTCATAAGGAACTTCTGTTTCTTCTTGACTATACTAGAAAATTGTCTGTTATTATGGTAAAGTAAATTTATACCATTTGAAATATATTCTTTTAATCACTAGCTGTCGCCTGTGACTACGTTCGCGCGGAATTAAAAAAAAACTTAGTAAGTAGTGTTCTTCTTATGTTCTACATCTATGCCAAATTTCAGCGAGATCCGTTGAGCTGTTCTGGAGATACCTTTAAATAATCATTCATCCATTCATTTAAACATTCGCATTTATATTAGTAAGATGAATAAACGCATAACAATTTGTTGATATGTATTTATGTATGTATACCTTTGAACAATTTTGTTTCTTCGGAATATACTTTGTATTGAAGAGCACTAGAATCAAACAGCCCTGTTTACGTTCAACTCATGTTTATGTTCAAACTAAATACACTATTTGAATACAATTTGTAGCGTTTAACTAGAACTTGAAACATTTTGTGTTTGAAATGCATCAGTTGTTTGTCTGCACTTAGTTAACATCACTTGAAAAAATGATATTCAAAGGATTTTCTTGATTGAAATAATTAATTTTTTTTGGAATGTGATTTGATATATCACCTGTTTTTGGTAACTAAAGGTTTCATATAAAACTATGTATAGAAGATCTAAGATTGTCCGTTAAACAATCTTAGATCATTGTCATCAGCATTATCAATCTGCCCTTATCCCAAAACGAAACAGACAATCTTAGATATGTAAATGTAACAAAATATTTCATTTTCAGGATATTTATTAGATACGTAATTTTACAATATTGCTGCTCATTTAGGAAGCAACTGGCTGGCGCACAGGACTGCATCCTTGCTAAATGAAAAAAAAATAGTAAGCTATGTGCTCTTACACACTATTTTTTACATTGATGTCAAAATTCAACGAGATCTGCTAAACCGTTCTGGTAATACATTTTAACAAACATCCAAACTTTTGCATTTACATATCTGGTAAAATAGAAAAACCTATTTACGAAATGACGTGAATAATTTCATAAAAAATCACCCATTAGCCGAAATACAGTGTTTAAATAATTAGGAGAATGTAGCATAAAATATGATAAAGTATGTAATTTAGGTATACATGCGAAATGTCATGCAACATTTTGTTCAGGCGGCCGGTTTAACGGGCGTTTGATGTAAATGTAATAAAGCAAATGGTCCCATCTTCAGAGGCATTCGTGCACGCGCCGGTAGCAAAGACCCCCACTGAAAAATATTATTATACATAATAACATTAACACGGCTCTTGTGGCTGTGAAACTTATTTACCCAACCACATACATACACGCTACAATATGCTATTTTATCATATTAAGGACTCACTCATTACGGTGATTATATTTGCATATATACGCAACGTGTCGTTAAGTAATTATTTTAATTAAAGCATATTAAAATATGGCGCCTTTTTCTATATCATTTTAATCACGTCAAAGCATTCTGTACCACTTGTATATACACATAAAGTAAATTTATAATCACGCGAAAAATATTTTTTGTAAAATATTTTACTTGTAATTTAAATACATTTAATAATATTAGAGTGTCTGTATGTTATATTAAATATATATATTTCGTACACATAACATATTTGCATTGCTGATAACGAAACGTAAAATTTAAAAAGTTTTGTCAGTCAGCAACTCTGAGTTTGTTCCGGGTAATCTCCGGAACAGGTGGACTATTTTTGACAGGACTTGAAGTGGAAGGTAATTTGGGAATATTGTAGCCCACTTTTTTAACATCTGCAATGACGAAGTCTGCGACCGCTACTCTAATATATTTTATTATGTCTTCTGCCTATGCCATGTTTTTTTAGCATATTATTAGCGTGTTTTACTTTGTAGAAACGTATTTGAACAGTATTTTCGTTTATTTCGCGAAAACCCTCTTCTCCAATGTAAAATACAGATAAAATCGATTGCTAATGTGATATGAATAAAATATTAAGCACGTCATTGAACATTCAGCGTACAAAGAAAGGGTTTTTGTGAATATAAACAAAAAGCCTCTTACCGCGTCTGAGTATTTAGCTGTTCGTTGGAAAAAATAAAAGAACTGGAGGTTTTAAGAAGGCGCTTACGAGAAAAGTTATGGGAGCTACTGACCACTTCATTTCAAGTATGTCCGACGTTGCGAAGAACAAAAGTTAATATAAGTACCGAGCAAATAGAGAAAAATAAATTCATCTTAGTTTTTATAATACGTCCCTGTCTGATAGGTAATTACTAAAACCTATTTTATACTGCAATTTACTGACAAAATAAATGTACAAAATTAAACAATGGTATAAGTCGATAAGTACTATCTAATTTGCTTACAATTGGACAAAATTGTAGATATTTATCGATACAATTTATTTCATAAGAACTTAAATCAAAATCCGTTACCTTACTAATAATATAAATACGAAGGTTTAGATTTATGGATGGATTTTTGTTTGTAGATATCTCCAAAACCGCTAAAAGGAGCTCCCTGAAATCTTGTTTCACTTTTTTTCTTTAGTTTTTAATTCCCTGCGGATGGAGCCGCGTGCGACAACTAGTATTGTATGTGTAGTAATAGAAGATCGACATTCTCATATTAGACCGCCGCAAGAAGGGTCGTTGTAGAAAAAAGTGTTGAAATCCTCAAGCAAACTGTCATGACGCGATCGGCAATAATTAGTTGGAGTGTTGAGTGAGGAGGAAGCTTAAGATTGATGGCGTGGGCACAAAGGTCTGTCGGTGATAAATTGCCCGATATTAGGTCATGATTCGGGGCGGGTATTTGCCTATCGGCTCCTTTCGTTTTCACTATCAGTCTAGCATTTTTTGCGGGCGGGGCCGCCTGTGGAGTTCAAAGTGAATGCGGAATGTAATCTATCATTATGGTAAAATAGACCTCGCCTTAACTAATTCCTTTTGAGCTACATATCATAAAGGGATTTACCAGTATTAATATGATTCTAATGTAAAATTTACTAAAGAAACCTTCATTAACTTAGAAATTCCATTTTATGTTACTGAGCATGTGGCTATATGTATATTCTTTTTGTAATACTGACATTACTCGATACTTGTAAAATTATATGTAACATTTCATTATGTTTAGAAAAGTGCAACATTTTTTTCCAACCATACAACAGTATCGTCAACGTCGAACACATTATTGTTTTTTTTCACATTTAGGTTGCAAACGATGTAGCGGCCACTTAAAGTCGCAGAAATAGCGGAGCGACCTCTCCCCATAGACTTGCCTACCTTGAATTGACGGAAGTGGCGACGCACACAAAGATAATATTTTCCTTCCTATGCCCTCCTCCACTAGTATGGTTTATCCTCCGTCAAATCGCGGAATAATAGTGTACTGATATCTGCACTAGCAATAGCAATAAAAACTTAATTAGTAGCCTATGTGTTCTCCCAGACTATCTTCTAATCTATGCCATTCTTCGATATAGTTGAACAGTTACGGAGAAACCTCCTAACAAATATCCATCCAAACATCCAAAGTTTCGCATTTATAATATTGTGAGGTACGATTTTACTAAGATTAGTAATATTAGTCATGTTAATGCATATATTTAATTTAACGTAACTCGTCTTCGAAGTAATGGCAACTAGGTAACGTTGCGACACTTCCGAACCATCCGATTTGCATAATAACCGTACCACGCGCTACGTGCTCCTTTATAACCAATTTGAACTCTAACTTTATCACCACAAGGTCGTTATAATATTAAATTGTACAGGAAATAGCAATGTACGCTCTATCAATTCTCGTATGCAGATTCAAAGACATCTGAATATATTACTTAACAAGAAGTGTTTATCAGGAATACCAAAGATATATTATGTGCAATAAATCATTTTAATCCAGACCATATAATTTATTAAAAAAAAAGGATCTTTCGCCTTATGATATCCATAGGCAGCCTTACATCAGAGTAGGAACGCTCATCTTACTAATATTATAAAAGCCAATGTTTAGATGGATGTCTGGTTGAAGGTATTTCCAGAACGGCTGCATGAATGTCGCTGAATTGGCATAGATGTAGAACATAGTCTGGAAGAACATATAAGTTCCTAATTTTTTTTTTAATTCCGTGCGGACGGCGATGGCTAATATAAATTTAAAAAAGTCCAACTGTCTTAGAAACTCCTGACGTAAAAAAAAAATATGATGTAGTATCATAGAAAACACAACTATGATTAACAAACCGTAAAATGCGTAGTGCAAAAAAATGTAGACTAAAAATATATTAAAATCAAAACCACAATAATTCAATTATAAATTTATTTTAGGAAATAACTATTCCACAACTATTTTATTGAACGTTGAATTTTATAAAAAGCTATCAATGTGGCTTAATTAAAAACGCTGCAAGCAACGGAAAACGATGAATATGAATAAGCAATTAGTGAGGCAAGCGACAAAGGATATTACCTAACTAAATGACAGAGTCGGTACTTTCCCAGTGTTACCAGGTGTATGCCATCTAAAACTCCATTAGTACAG